CTTGATGTTGCTGAAGCCTGGCGCCTGGCAGATGCTTTCGGCGCAGCCACTGGGAGCGGCTGGGTGAGCGACTGGCGAGGATCGGGTTGGATGGTGCCGGAGGGTTCGCCGCATCCGTGGTCAACGCTGGGCATTTCAGTTCGGTGCGACAGGCCTGTCGGAGAGGATGGGACTAGTCCTAGAGCCCAGGACCCATAGGAAAGGACATGACAAGACCACAAAGAGAGAGAGAGAGAGAGAGAGAGATCTTTTTTCTATGGGGGTTAACTACCTGATCCAAAACAGAGGTCACTCAGGTTATCTCAGGTTGCTCAGGGTCCCGTCTTCTTCCGTGCCGCGATCCGTTGCGGGGCCGACCGGGTGGGGCGATCCGGTGGTCGATGCTGGTTGCCGTGTGGAAACTCCGATTCCCCAGCAGCCGATCTTTTGTTACAAAGAATGGCCTGGCCATGAGAAGTTTTTGAGAGTTTTGGTGGACACGTCACATCCCGGCTCTAAGCTGATTTGTTCCCCAAGACCTTTGGAGCCTGAGCCATCAGGAATGGGTTTGGACGGGCACCGGGGTTCTTAACTGGGGCTGTCCGAGATCAAGCTGAGGCGGGCTTTCAGAAGCAGGTGCTGCTGCTCCTCTTCCACCTGGGCCTTGGCACTGAGTCGCCCAAGCAACGCCTCCGGCGGAAGATCTTCTTGCACGAGCACGATGCGGAGCTGAAGAAGTACGACACGGGTTAGTACAAATCCGGGTTAAGGAGCCCATGAACAGCCACTGATGATGCTGAATTGGCTTTTACATACACATTTATTGATGATGCAGATCTGGATGTGTTGATTCTATGGCTGGATCATGCTGGATTGCTCTTTCAATCTTTCAGGCAGCTTCGGCCGAAGCGAAGGCGCGAGCAGGGCGAGCTGCTCTCACCACATTCGAAGCAGCGAGCAATTGAGGTCGACATGCTTTCATCCTCAGGTCAGTGAGCAGACGCAAGATCGAGACCCTTGACCGGCTTATGGGGATATAGAAAATTGCTCCGCATCAACTCTTCCAAGTCGGACGCAGTCACACCACGTCTGTGCTGACCTTGACCGCCACCGCTGGTCTACCCTGAAGGAGCGGAAGCAGTCTGCGGGTGCAGCTCGTGCGGCGCACCGCGCGGCCACGCACCTGTTGAAAAAGGCTTTGAGAATTGAAGGTAGCCGCAGGGAGTGATCGCAGGAGGAACTTGATCAGCTCACAGGGGCTGTTTCAGCCATCGTTGATCTTCCTCCACGTGAAGAATGGCGTGCGGTGAAAAGCTGATGGTCTTTTCAGCGGCCCATTTGGGCTGAAGGATGCCGAAAGTCAAAGAGAGGGGCGCGCCAGGGCGACAGGCTGGGTAGCAGGTTGATGCGGGTTTCTTCATAGCCCAGACACTCCATGTGTGCCATATATGCCTACGTTGGGGTGGTTTTGGGGGTCAATGTAGGCATATATGGCATACATGGAGTGTCTGAGTAGTGGTCGGACCAGTACACCCCCCGCAAAAATCATGCAACTGGACCGTAGGGGCCTGGAAGATGATAGAAGGGGGTCTTGGTCAGCTTGATTGTTGGAGGGAGGGTGTAAGTTTTGCTGGCAGAACCTGCAGATTGCAATTGGACATGCATTTAAGCCTTTATTGAAATAAGGAACATTTTGCCCTGGGTACGCTGTCAGGGCCGCCCCAGGAAGATAAAGGGCCGGGTCAAGCAAGTTCTGAGAACGCTGACCCAGCAAAGTCTTGCCAAAATCATCCTCCAAGAAAATCATCTTCCAACTTGCCATGGTCCACTTTGGACGGGGACCTGACTGGCCGAAGTGTTTCCCCTTTCATCAACCCTTCCAGGCCCAGACCACTGGGCCCTGGATGCATGTTGATCCCAGTTCCTGCCCAGATCAGCGAACGGGAGAAGCAGCTGCAGGAGGAGCTCATGCAGGTCACATCCTCAGTGGAGCAGAATGGATGACGCAGAATGGATGAGTGAGTGACGCATGAGTGACGCACCCCTTGTTTCGGCGAGCTTTTTGGGGGGTCTAATCCATCCTGTAGGATGGATTTGCTTCGGTGCCGCCCTGCTGTGCCGCCCTGCTGTCTCTCTGAGAACTGTACTTCAGTTTTGCAGCAGCTTCTAAAACCCCTAATATAATATGAAGAGGTTTTTGAATCCAAATGTCTTTAAAATCAATCAGGAGCCGGTTCTAGATGCGAATCATCTTGCCACACCGCTGCCCGACGGTTTCGTCCACCCCTCCACCCGTCCGCCAGGCTCAGGAGGACTTGCGACAGGCGGAAGAGAGCCTCAAGCTGTCCGAGGCGACACCTCGGGAGTCAAGGTAGGTGATGGGCGGTCCATGGGGCTGGCATCTATGCCAGTCTGGGGCCCTGGAACCCGTGAATGGACATCCCTGGACCTACGGAAGGGGCGTGGCGTCCCTAAAGGGACGCCCCAATTCCTTCGGTGGCTGGGCTAGGTGATTGAACATGGGTCGCTTTCGGTTTTTTCCCATGTTTTTGGTCCGTCCGTCGGGGTCCGCTTCGCTGACTCCGGAAGAAAAGAGAGAGGTTTGGGCCGGCTTCCGTGGAGGAAGGAAGTTCCTGAACATGGCTTTTGCACTGAAGCCAATCGGAAAAGAGGTGAGAACATGGACTGAGCGTTTGCCCAGTCGAGACTGCACGCAGGGGATGGCTGGGCTCAATTGCGAATCTGGGGAATGGTGGTGTGGACGTTGCAGAACGACACCAGCCTTGTGAGAGCCAGCTTGAAGAGGAAATCCCTGGACATGATCCTTTTATGGCTGTTTTAGGATATCAATTTCTCTTGCTGTCTTGTGTGGGTGCTTCGTGCGCTGGAAGGCCGAACGCTTGGACGTTGAAGACCCCTTTAATATATTGATACATGCCAGGGCCCCCCTGTTTGGGGTGGTTCATGGACATTCCGAAAAACCTCTAAGGAGCTAGAATTAGACACCCCTTAGGGGGCCCTGGTATTGTAGTTTTTGGAAATCATGGCAGCCAGAGCGCAGGCCAGCTGGCATATGTCCCAGCTGGCGCCCACCGCAATCGTGCAGCTTGAGCCAGTGGAACCTGCTACGGGGACCTTTGTTACAAGTAATTGGCCGCTGGGCTCGAGAGGTTTTAAGTTTTATGTATGTTGATTGTTCTTGTTCGGCATTCTTACCAGCCTGAGTTAGATTCTTGCAAAGTTTGGCTTAAGGAATGTATAGGTGCCTATTGGACACATTAGGCCATCCCTCCAATCGTGCTGTGCTTGAAACATGGTGCATGACCAGAACCGTTCCTTATGCGCCCTCCCAGAGCCAGGACGTTGACATGAAGCCCGCCCAAGTCTGAGTGTCCGGGACCCCGCCCTCTTCCGCCTGGTTTCCATTCCGATTTGACCCGGCCCCGGTGCTGAGCGTTTGACCCGGCCCGGTGCTGAGCGTTTGGCAGGTCCAGAACAAGCGCTTGGAAGCTGCCGAACAGTCGTTGGGGCCACAGAGAATGTGGCGAACTGCCGTGTGTGAGATGGAAGAAGCATCCATTCCGTTCTAGGTGCATGTCAGCGCTTCGGTCCCGATCCCCTCAAAGCCACTCCCACTCTTTCAGTGGGCGGTGTTTGGTGCCCTACCAGCATCTACGGGACTCCCATCCGACATCGCGGCATCAGCATCAACATGCATCAACATGCATCAACCAAACAACCCGCACTCAGGTGGTGTCTCCAAATCTCCCCTTCCACCTCCTTCCCAAGAGAGGTTGAGTGACCTGAACTAGGACCTGTCACCCGGGGTACCGAACTGGGACAGGCGACTTCGGGTCCTTCAACCACCTCTGTTGGTCCACACCCGACTGAGCCGCCTCATCCGACCACCGCCGCCGCCACCGGACGGACCGGACGGACGTGGGTCTCAGGGTCCGACAACAGCTGGAGGACGCGGTCGAACAGAGGAGCCGGATCGGCCGCGCCCATGTCGATGCCCCCAACGAGCTCTTCCGGGAGAGACTCCATGGACTTAATGGACTCCTGGATGGCACGGAGCTGACGACTGGAAGACGGTGTTTTGCTTGTATTTTTTTTTTTCTGCTCCCGAACGCCAGCCCCGCCTAGTGGTTTTCAGGTTCCACGTTCTATTCGATGTGTTACGGTTGGCCAGTGAAGGGAGAGGATGATACAGTTATTGTTGATATTGTTTTTCTTCGATATCCTTGTAGATCACGTCTTTTTTTGGCTGGTGGGCGGGTGGCAAGGATGCGAACACCACTACAAGCAGCATATGAAAAAGCCATATAGAGTCCCACTTTGGACGCGAAAAGCTGCCAGGACCCAGCACCTTTAGAAGACCTTTCTGGGAGCCCAAACAAATCACCGAACTATGCTGAAATGCTTTTCCCCCTTGGGCTCCTCCCTTTTCCGGCGGCGTGGCGGTGGGACGTACGTGGCCTCCCGGTTCTGCCGACCTGAGCACCGCCCGCCCGGGGTCCGACACGGTGTCGGATGCTCCATGACCGGCAGGAGCAAAGCGGCTCGAGAGGCGCGACGAACTACGCGCGCGACGAACTACGCGCGACGGGCGGCCGCGGGCGGGCAGCGACTGGAGATCCATGCTGATCCATGACGTCCATGAAGCAGGGAAAGGGTACTAGAGACCCCCAAGGCGTCGAAGATGCTACCTGGTGGCAGTAGGCAAAAGTGGAGATATGTTTGACAGACTGGGACTAGGACATGTGTGTTTTTGAGTGAATGCCGTCGTTTTCTTCTCGCACTGTTGCCGCCAAGGAAGGTTTAGGATGGTTTTGGCATGTCCGAAGGACCAAGACCAATTATTCCATGTTTTATTACCACTCCCAACTCCCAGCGGGTTGGTAGCTCAGCCATCCTCAGACCAGTCATCCAGCCATCCTCATACTTTGTCGAGATGATCAGACGTTAGTGCCTCCCATGCCAGCCACCCAGTTCACTGCACTTCGCCGGGGGGCGAGGCCATGAAGCAGTCGAGCGCCATGGCTGAGGAGTTGAAACGGCTCAAAGAGCAGCTGGAGGAGTTCTGACTCGATCGACCGCAGTCGATGGGTGATTTACGATGATTTGATTAGTTAGAAGAAGAAGCAGAAGAAGAAGAAGAAGAAGAAGAAGAAGAAGAATAAACATAAGAAAGATAAGAAATGTTTAACTTGTGGATGCTCATGGATGGATGGTTTTTATATGTTTTTATTTGTGGATTCGATTTTTTGGTTTTGGATCATCAGCTTTGGGCGACGCTTCGGTTCGGGGGAAGAGCGAAAGGTCGTTCCTTTCGCCGCTCGCATGCCTTCGCATTTTCGGAGCGGGGAGTAACGGAAGAAAGGTTCGGAAAGGAAAGAGGAATAGGAATGAGCATGCATTTTCAAGGACACACACACAAACACGTACAGCAATGAGAGCCATCCAAAAAAAAGAAAGCGGACAACCGAGGACTGCACCGAGGACTGCATGGAGGGCAGGTAGAAGCAGTTTGTATCTAATTTCGATCCCTAGGACCGCAAAAGCAACGGGCGTATTGGCCCATCCGGAGCCCCGGTGTGACACGTGATACCCATACCCTGAAAACTGTGCAATATGGCTCACCCGAATACCTAGTTCGAATGGCGCTGGTAGATGCTGGTACCCTTTTGGTTGTTTCTGATTGCGAGCTAGACCGACTTCTTGGTTGGACTGAAAAATAAGTTAACGTGGTAGTTCATTTGAGTAGCGTCTTCTGATTGAATGTTGCAATTTAGATGAGACTGTAACTCACCAAATCTTTGCGATTTCATTTGTGTGATACATTACGTGTGGCGAAGGCTAAAGCCGATTCACGTAGGCCCTTAGATTTCACACAGGCGAAGCCAATTCGCGAAGGCCAACTTAGAGTGTATGAACGTTGTTGTGAAACCAATTCGCAAAGCCTCTGTTGTTGCGCGAAGCCTCGCGAACCCACCCTTCCCACAAATTCTCACCCTGCGAAACCCTCAGCGTAGGCAACGCAGCAGTGTACCGGCACTCTCCTAAAAAGCACAGCTCATTTGGTTCAACATAGTAAGTACTTACAACTACTTGCTAAGCAATTAAGTTCCGCGCGATGACCTTTGAACGTATTTCATCTGTGCTCGGGGTTTGGGAGTGTGTTTTTTGTTTCAGTGGTGCTTTGAAATTAGACACGCTTGCGTTTGCTGTTTTCTTTTTTCTTTGTTTAGGTTTTATATTCGGTTTGAAACACGCTAATTATTAATAATATTAATTATATAATATATTGTACTACATGGAACTTACAACTTGACTTGTGAGGGTTCTTGCTCGTTTTACACATGGCTTTAACCCTGTTGTAGATGCATTGCATACTTAACTGTTATTTTATGTGACTGTTTAAATCTCGATCTAAATACCCAACTTGCCAGAGGCGCTGCCCCTGGAACGGTTCAAAGAACCCTTGAACCCGACCCGCAGCAAATTGCTTGCTGCGGAAGTCTTGTATGTCAACAAATAACGGAACCAGGTTTCGTTGGGGGTCCAGAATTGGGGAGGGTTGATTGGGTATCATAAATCATACATATTCATAAATCATCATAAATCATATAGATTTATCATGTATATTCATAAGTCTTACATAACCGCC